TGCTTTTGTAATGTCTATCCTAACAACAAATGCTTTCCCACGATTCCCCAGCTTGTCTGATAGTTAACAGTTCCAAAACTAGTGCAGCTCACACAGTTTCTTTCTAGCCACTAGTGGGTCTCGGGGGCAACTGTTCAAAAGCCAGTTTCAGAGTTATACACTAAGATCTTTGAGCATCTTATGTTCCCAAGGGAACGAGTGGGATCCTTCCTGCCTATTCTCAGGGAAGAGCTGTGCTGGGCCTTCCTGCGGGTTTGCAGACAGCTCTGTGACCTAGGTCACACTACAGTGCTTCATTAAGTAGAAAGGACAGGTAGAAACAGGAAGGTTAGTGTTTGGATGGCACTTCATATAAAAACAAGCCATATGACGCGGCAAGCCTGGAAACAGCTTTTAAAGCTCCTAGCACTGGTGAGATATTTGCCTATAGGAGGCGAGGAGCGTAGGGTTTGATAATTACAGAAGAAATCCAAGTGGAAGCAGATGGCATTTGCGTTCACAGAAGAAATACCCCACTTTGTTTTCTAAACAGTAAAATAATAATAATATTACTTGTGTCTTCTATTTCGGTTTCTGTAATCAGTTTTACTTTTTTAACCACCTACCCCTGTTAGGTCTAAGCCGGAGTCGACTGATGGCTGCCGCAGTAGACGGTCTGGTCATGATGCACACAGTGTACCATGCTGAGGTTTCCGACGGTTGCTCACATAGGCCTGCCTTAGCGGGGGTCAGGGCTGCTGACGTAGTGCTCCCTGGCTCAGTGCTCCCTGGCTCAGTGCTCCCTGGCTCAGTGCTCCCTGGCTCAGCGGTCACCGCTGTGTAGACAGCAGTCCTGTCGGTCCTCTCCTTCAGTTCATTGCTCATCTCTTGTCCTCCTAGGAATCCCCAGATCCTCGTGGAGTGCCTCACCCCGGACTTCCGAGGAGACCTGAGAGCAGTGGAGAAGGTCGCTCTGTCGGGCTTAGACGTGTACGCACATAACGTAGAGACCGTTCCGGAGCTGCAGAGGTGACCGCACGCTAACGGGCCCCAGCGGGCCTGGATCTCACTCGCAGGGGGACTGGGCAGCGGGCTGTACAAAGGCAGCTCCTTCCTCCCCTCCCCTGCCTTCCCTTCCTCCCCTCCCCTGCCTTCCCTTTTTCCCCTCCCCTGCCTTCCCTTCCTCCCCTCCCCTGCCTTCCCT